CGGTAAGGCGGCCCGTCAGTGCTGCCATCTATGGAGGGCGGGCGGCGGCTCAGCGGGCCAGTCGGCCCGACGATCGATGCCGGGGCCATTGATCGCGTGGCGCCGGGGGCGGCCCGACCCGCAGGCCGGTGAGGCAGGGCAGCGGTGCCGCAGGCCCGGCGTCAGGCACGACTCGTGGGGGGCAGTCGCGTCGGGAAGTCGGCGTGACACATTGACACCAGTCGGTGAGATCACCGCCTGTCGAGTTTTTGGGACCTGAGTCACATACGTCTGTAAGCAAGCTGCAGTCCGCGACTCAACGATGGTGCTGCACTCTGTGGCCGGACGTGATATCGGAGGTTCTGGAATCCAACTATAGCTGACGCCTGCACGCTGTCTATATGTTTTTACCGGCTTCAGGACAAAAGTAGGCATCGAAAAAGTACGTAAGTATGAAGTGCGCATGCATTTGTACAAATGCGCACTAGGTTTAAGGCTCACATGGCAGAAGTGTGAACGTAAATGTTCGTACGCAACAGTTCGTAACAAATATTTGAGTGATATGAAACACATATCGATTTGGAATATGTTTGTAATGACAAAGGCTCGTCGGGGCAAAAGTTCGGGTGGAAAAAGTTCGTATGCAAAATGACGTACATAGTTGCTCGTAAGCAATCAAATACACGCAAACTTTTGAGGGGATGAATTAGGTTTGCCAACTTCGTTACCGGCGTAGGCACGTGAGCAGGGGACCGCGGGGGCACTAAACTTGCCGAGAATGACGAACAAGAAACTTATATCAATGTATGGACAACATCGGCTTGGGATGGTGGATGATGCTTTTGTGGGAAATGCTCCCTGACGGACCGATCGCCAAGACACCAAATTATGTACCGGCAGCTCCTAAGTTGCGCTGAAATTTGGTTTCCGTGGATAATCTAAGGTATGAGGGGGAGAGCTATTTAATAAGCATGATCCGAGATGTTTGACTGAGTATTTCTGGGTCTGTTCGGCGTGCGGTTTTAAAATGATGTTCTCGGGCAAGGTTGGGTTGGGTGCAAACCGGGTCTTACAGGGAATGTTCCACATTTTAAGATACTGAAGCAAGCATCAAATATGATGAAATGAGCTCACTTATAGCTTTTAGCATGCTATTAAGGGGAAAAAGCTGCTTCAGACCAAAATGTTCTCAGTTGGAAAATGCGCCCCTCAATGCGTCATTGTTTTACCGTATGATGGAGCATTTGTACGACGTTCAGGTGCTGCTAAACTGGCCGTGCGGAATTGCCACCTACGTACTTTCATGCAGTACTTCAGCTCACCTTCCGATGGCAGTGGGGGTGATGGAAGCATTCACTACATCAAATATCGTTTTGTGTTCGTGTTTTCAGCCTTTCTCGTGGTGCTCTTGCATATTTAACTCAACCTTTAAGAAGTTCACTAGTATTGATCTGCTCGGTTGTGGCAATTTTGCCAAATCATATTCGATTAGAAGTCTTATTTCTGTCAAAGCTGACAATCATGTTCACTTCCATGCATTTTATTATACAACACGCGATCCATGATTAGGAATTGCACAGCCAGCTCATCATTGAATAAGAGCCAATTGACGCTCCCTTTATTTGGAAATCGTGCTCGTTGACGTCAGATCTGAACCAATCGACGATAACCTCCTCCTTGACCTTGAACACCGCTTGGCCTGTGGGGTGGCCGGGTTTGAATGACGTTGTCATGGTGTCATCCATGCCTGAATGGCCTTGAAGTAGTCTGCACGAAATAGTCCACACGTTTTTAATGGCAGGCGTGGCTCGTAAACTAGGTGGCTTGAAGTCTTTCTTTAAGGAGGGCAGGGCTTTGAACAGCACTGAATGATTTTCAAAATGACTATTTCAGTTCAAAACCCCATGCAAATATGGAGCACCCCCTTTAATCAAAGGGGAGGCACCAAACCGGGCACAGCTGGTGCATCATTCCCACTACTTTACGTGAGAAACCAGATGCCAAGTGTAGCTGGCGCGACTGCCTGCCGTATTCAACAAGTGAGCTGACTCATCGCACCCGTCAGATAGCGTCAGTTGAGCGCTCAAAGGCGTCAGGCGCAGCTATCGAGGGAGGCGTTGCCATGGTGACGGAAAGTGTGCGCGCGTGCGTGCGTGCGTGCGTGCGTGCGTGCGGGCGGGCGTGTGTGTGTGTGTGTGTGTGTGTGTGTGTGTGTGTGTGTGTGTGTGTGTGTGTGTGTATGTGTGTGTGTGTGTGTGTGTGTGTGTGTGTGTGTGTGTGTGTGTGTGTGGTGTGTGCGTGCGTGCGTGCGTGGTGTGTGTGTGTGTGTGTGTGTGTGTGTGTGTGTGTGTGTGTGTGGTGTGTGTGTGTGGTGTGTGTGTGTGTGTGTGTGTTGGGTGTGTTGTTGTGTGGTGTGTGTGTGGGTGTGTTGTGTGTGTGTGTGTTGTGTGTGTGGGTGTGTGTGTGTGTGTGTGTGTGTGTGTGTGGTGTGTGTGTGTGTGTGTGTGTTGGGGGCGGGGGGAGGAGCACTACAAACTCGGCGGGTAATCTGCTGTGGGCGAGTTTTTATTTCTTGAACTTCCATTCCTCTCCATCCTACGATCACCATGCACGACACCAATCGTTTTGATACAACAGTAGAAATAGCCCTATTTCTTGGAGAAATACCAGGAGAACGGAGATATAGATACGTTAATATTTCGGCAACATGCGTTTATCGAAACGAATAGCAGAAGTGAAATCACTTCTGCTATTCGTTTCGATAAAGGCATGTCGCCAAAATATCAACGCACCTATATCCGCATTCTCCTGGTTTTTCTCCAATAAGGCTATTACTGCTGTCTTGTCTACGTGAATAACGCTCCTCGCTCCGCACTTCATAGCTTCCCAATTGATTCGAGCTCATATGCTGGTCATCTCAGAGCGTTAAGTTCATGTTGCATAGAGTTAGGTTAGTCATCAGCTGACCTGACCTATGCCGTTGTCACCGTCCACCGCCATCCCCACCACCTCCTCTCTCCAGTCGACAAGATGTGGTTGCCCCCGCAGTGACCAGTCATCCGGCAGGCACATGACACAAAGAGTGAAAATCTGCATTTCAATATTTTCTGCGCATTTGCACACAACATTTCCCGGACGTACTATCGTCGTACTAACAAACTTCATCTTTGACGAACACTTTCGTACACATTTTGTGTGCTCAGCAGGTACCGAAATACGCACATCTGCTTATGCCATTTTGTGAAACAAATGTTATCTTTTCCTAACATTCGCGCTCGAACATTTGAGTGCAAACAATTGCTTACGACCTTTTTCCATGCAAACTTTTGCGCGCACGAACATTTGCGCTAAGGGCTTTTTTTCTGATGAACATTTTACCATGCAGTCTCTATGTCATATGTATATTTGCCATTACGAAATTTTGCCCTCACAAGCTATAAACCCGACGTACTTTATCCGGTCGATCATTAAGCATCCATTCTTTATTCCGCAAACAATTGTCAAGCGTACCTTCGCGTACCTTAGTCCACAACGCGCATAAATCGACATGCCGCCGTATAGCCCGCGCCAGTAGAATATCGTGCTTTTGGTGCAAATGGCTTTAAAACTACCCATAGACTGCATTGTATGGTCGTGCGGTTTCAAGACAGCGTATTATATGTGATTGAGGTCGGTCAACAAAGTGCGTTGTGTTTGGAACGTCTGACACGATGCGCGTATGATGGAAGATACTTCAATACAAGCTGCTAGGACTTATTAATCATAAACTCTGCAATGCAGCATTGTGTCTCATTCCTAGTGGCTGAGGACACCTCTGCCTTACCATTGAAGTAAAGACAGTGTTTACGATGGATTTAACTCTATGCATGAATATATAATATTCATGTTGCCATGAAATGCAGCGAAAGTATGCCGTACAATATTGCGCTTGACATGCCACTTGTAGAGCATCCTGCCTACCAAACACGAAGGTCTAAAACCGCCTCTGCTTGATATGCCACTCGTAGAGCAGCCTGCCTACCAAACACGGAGGTCTGTAACCTCATTTGCTTGACATGCCACTCGTAGAGCAGCGTGCCTACCAAGCACAAAGGTCTGAAACCACCTCTGCCTGACATGCCACTCGAAGAGCATCCTGCCTACCAAACACGAATGTCCGAGGCCACCTCCGCTTGACATGCCACTCGCAGAGCAGCGTGCCTACCAAACACGAAGGCCTGAAACCGCCTCTGCTTGACTATTTTAAATTTGGAAACAATGCGTGCATGAGAGGTAGATGAAATAGCCGATAATCACATTATAAAAATCTGGCCGAAAAAGAGCGTCAATATAATTTGGTTTTGCAGCTTCTTCCGGACGGTATTGAAGAAGCAATAAAGCAAAATTATATTGTACTGGCTGTAGTATATTGTAATCCATTTTCCAGGGTTTTTCTTCGAGGAATAAGGCTATTACTTTTGTTTCATGTACCTGTATAATGCTATACGCGAATGCACTTAACAACTTACGTGAAATGATATTCTCTCCTTTTTCGGCATTTTTTTGTAACGTGAACTGCGCCTCCTAAATTTACCTCATCGTCATTTCAGCTGTGTAAAAAAACGACACCTGGACTACGACACGTGCATATTTATCAATGTCAAAAAACGACATGCGGACTACAACGGCACGTGCATATCTGTCAATGTCAAACAGTCGCAAAATTCCGTGGGGCTGCCGTGATTGCTTAGAAGCGGCAAAAAACCACACACACGCAGGGGGAGGCGGGAGGGGGGAGGGGGAGGAGGCGGAATTTGCTCCTCCGCGGGAAAAGAAGTTCAATGCTACTACTATATTCGTGCCAGCTTATGTGACCGACCCACAAATTTGTCCGGTATGCCCAAAAGTTATTGGGGTGAGGCGACCATGACACCAGTGATGGTCACGGTTCTGCATAGGCTTCACTGTCTGGACCCCAAAAAAGATTAGGGTCTACACGGTCTTGAAGAAGCCCAGTGATGTCCAAGCGCGACCCATTGCGTTCAGTGTCCCGGGTTGAGATTGTGAAGCTCATTTATCACGCCTTTGCACTTTCTGTTGATGAATGAGAGTTGTTTGCTGGTTAGCCGTTGCTTCCACCGGTTGACGTGCTGGGCAGATTTCTTCTGCACCGACCACGGCTCGTTCCTGCCCTCGGCCTGCGTTGTTTCCCGTACGACGCGCTCCACCTCTGTCGTCCAGTCGAAGCCGACGAAGTCGAAGATGCGTCGCAGCTCGTGCTCGGGCCTCGCCGCCAGCCGCTCGTAGAGCACCAGACGCGCCGCGGCGGGGTGGCGCGCCTGCAGCCGGCGCAGCGCCGACAGGTCGTCAGCCAGGTCGGCGCACAGCCGCGCCGGCTGCACGCACTCGGGTGCGCGCCGGCACCAGCTCACCGAGCTGAGGCGCGAGCTGAGCGTGGCGCGCGGGTCGCGCAGCAGGTACAGCACGCGCGCCTCGCCGCTGCGCACGTAGCGCTCTAGCTCGCGCAGCCGCAGCCGCACCAGTTTAAAGAGGTGCAGCGGCAGCAGGCGGCACGCGTCGCCCAGGAACGTCTCGTTAGTGCACACGTTGCGGTTGGTGAGTTGACAGGCGCGCCACACGCGCGGATTGTGCGACAGCACGTCCTCCACGCTGTGGCGCGTGGCGTTCATGTAGGCGGGCAGGCCGTCGTACCTGCAGTCGCGCAGCCGGCGGAGGGTGTGGTGGGCGAGCCGGACGTCTTCCGGCGCGCGCGCCTGCCGCACACCCAGCGACAGCAGCGGCTCGTAGTGGGTGAACACCCCCGGGTGCGACGACAGCACGTGACCCAGAAACGTTGAACCCGACCGCCACGTGGTGACCAGGAAAACGGCGCGTGGCCGGTGCTGGCGCCGCGCCAACCCGTCGGGCGGCAGCTGGCGCAGCTCTTCGCTCAGCTGGCGCCGTAGCTGCGCCAGCGCGCACTCCACCTCCGAGGCGTTGGCCGGTCTGTTGCGTTCCCGTGCCCTGGTTCTGAGCACGTCGAAGTACTGCTGCATATCAGCCTTGTGCATGACTGTGCCGAGGACGGGGTCGAAGATGACGTCAGAGCTGTGCTGCCCGCTGGCGGCAGCCTGCCGTACCCGGGCCAGGGTCAGGTTCCGAAGCACCTCCTGACGCAGTCTGTCGTCAAACGGGTCCGGTCCGAGGTCGAACCGCTCTTCCGTCACTCCCGACGCGGTCAGCCCGTTTGGCGTCACAGGGTGTGTCTCAGCGTCGATGTACGATGGGTCCTCCGTCTCCTCCGACATGATCGTTCCACCTGAGGGCACGGGATGTGTACCAGAGCTGAGGTTAAACGACCTAGTTCTTTCCTCCAACACTTTTGGTCCACCTGAGCGCACCGTTGGTGTTGCAGTACGCTGGTATGTAGCTGGATTTAAGATGTCTTCGCTGTAGTGAGAATTGGCAACGAGATGGAGAGATGTTGATTGCTGTGCATCATACTTTATCTCGCGGCTGCTCTCACTGTTCGTGGTGAGAATGCTATGATGACGCGTGGAAATAAGTGACTGGCAAAATGCTTGCTCCTTCTCACGTTCAACATTCCTGTGTCTCTGAATCGTCTAGACGCGTCAGTTGGCGTGACAAGAGTATTGATGCTCTCTCACATGCTTATACTTTAAGAGCGGCCATTTCTCGTGCCGTTAAGCTCAATCTAGTCCGGTCACGTCGTAGAGCAAAATGGATGGTCGTAGCGCAGTTGAGAAAAGCTGGCAGAATAAGAAGACGACATTCCGAGAGGACACTGGGGGACGGAGGGCGGGGGGGATGCGCAGAAACCAGGGGTGAAAAGAAATCTACCCACCAGGAGCAAGTTTCGGTAACATTCGCCTCACTCTCAGGGGGGGGGGGGGGGGGGGGGGGACAGTGAGAGTACGTTAGGTGGAAAATCTGCCGGAGATAGAGCAGTTTCATGAAAAATGTTGTTATCACGCTTTTTCTACGAAATTTTCTGTAACCACCGTCGCACCTACAACACGCCATTCTCCACCCCATAACTAGCGCTGTCATATGCAAAGAACGCATTGCAGGGTCGCAGCGACCGTCAGGTCTCGGTTCAGTCAGGTATAAACCGCATCTGACTGAACTACGTTGTCCTGTGACTAAAAGCTTGTACGATAACGGCTGTGCCTTCAGGCACATCCGAACGACAAGCAACGCACATCTCTTATGCGACAGTCATGGCTTGCCACCTCATCCCGACAAGTTCCAGCTGGCCACCTACCAAGCCCCGCCACACCATCGGTCGATAGTGCCCTGGACGTACCCGTGGCCAAGCCCCACCACACCATCGGTCGATAGTGCCCTGGACGTACCTGTGGCCAAGCCCCATCACACCATCTGTCGATAATGCCCTGGACGTACCTGTGGCCAAGCCCCATTACACCATCGGTTGATAATGCCCTGGACGTACCTGTGGCCAAGCCCATCACACCTTCGGTCGATAATGCCCTGGACGTACCTGTGGCCAAGCCCCATTACACCATCGGTTGATAGTGCCCTGGACGTACCTGTGGCCAAGCCCCATCACACCATCGGTCGATAGTGCACTGGACGTACCTGTGGCCAAGCCCCACCACACCATCGGTTGATAGTGCTCTGGACGTACCTGTGGCCAAGCCCCACCACACCATCGGTCGATAGTGCCCTGGACGTACCTGTGGCCAAGCCCCACCACACCATCGGTTGATAGTGCCCTGGACGTACCTGTGGCCAAGCCCCACCACACCATCGGTCGCTAGTGTACTGGACGTACCTGTGGCCAAGCCGATGTGTTGAACGGACTCAAGAAGACGGCCATTCGGCACCACATCAGGCACGAGCCGGTGGTGGGCGCTCCGGATCAGCATTAGAAGGGCGGCCAACGCCAGGAGTGCGAACAGCATCGAACAGCGGCCCGCCGGACAACGCCTGCCGACAGGGCACCGCCACATCTTATTATTAGGTCCAGGCTCTCGCGCCGGACAAGGCCTGCCGACGGGGCACCGCCACATCTTGCAATTAGGCCCAGTCTCTCGCGCCGGACAAGGCCTGCCGACAGGGCACCGCCACATCTTACCATTAGGCCCAGGCTCTCGCGCCGGACAACGCCTGCCGACAGAGCACCGCCACATCTTACAATTAGGTCCAGGCTCTCGCGCCGGACAACGCCTGCCGACAGGGCACCGCCACATCTCACAGATAGACCCAGGCTCTCGCGCCGGACAACGCCTGCCGGCAGGGCACCGCCACATCTTACAATTAGGTCCAGGCTCTCGCGCCGGACAACGCCTGCCGACAGGGCACCGCCACATCTCACAGATAGACCCAGGCTCTCGCGCCGGACAACGCCTGCCGGCAGGGCACCGCCACATCTTACAATTAGGTCCAGGCTCTCGCGCCGGACAAGGCCTGCCGACAGGGCACTGCCGCATCTTACAGCTAGACCCAGGCTCTCGCGCCGGACAAGGCATGCCGACAGGGCACTGCCGCATCTTACAATTAGGTCCAGGCTCTCGCGCCGGACAAGGCCTGCCGGCAGGGCACCGCCACATCTTACAATTAGGTCCAGGCTCTCGCGCCGGACAAGGCCTGCCGACAGGGCACTGCCGCATCTTACAGCTAGACCCAGGCTGTCGCGCCGGACAACGCCTGCCGACAGGGCAGCGGCACATCTTACAGACAGACCCAGGCTCTCGCGCCGGGACTGCTCAGCTAGGCTCCGGACACAATAGGAGTACAGAGCGGGGCTCATGTGGTGACCTCAGCTGGGCTCCCGACACGATGCGAGTACAGAGTGGGGCGCGCATGGTGACTTTAGCTGGGCTCTCAACACGATACGAGTACAGAGCGGGGAGCGCATGGTGACTGCAAACAAATCGTGTTCGATGCCAGTACATGAATTCCGGGTCTGGAGTACTACTGGAGTACTGTTCTTGCATCCAAACACATGTATTATTTTGACGATAAGCCTTGATGCTATGTAAGACATTCCATCACAAATTCCCAGCATTTAATTTCATGACAATTTTCCACGCACCTTATGTCTCAGGTATCTATGTGTCCAGGTATCAGGTATGAGAACCGAACAGTGCCATTTTCAGGAAGGCCAGAGAAGGGGTTCAAGAGTTAGGTCTCGAGCATCTTAATAGGTCAGGTAATAATTTTGTCTTCGAGGGGTCTATGAATTGATAAATAATTAATTGACTCTCGCTCTGACTGCGGGGGGGGGGGGGGCCATCCCTGAGATTTTTTGTAGAATACTTCCTCGGCATCTTGTGCAATATCGCCCAATTTTCAGTGGCCTATGGGGCATCTATTGCGCATGTTTTGACAACAAGAGCGTGTTCCTATATTTTCTGACTACGGGACAGTGGCGGTGTTTGAGGAGCACTACACGGCGATGTACAGCCGGCGCGGGCGGCGGGCGGCAGCCGACGATGCCACCAAACGCGGAAGGTGGGCCAATATTGTTACATGAACGGAGCGATGTGTCACACATATATGATCAAAACACATTGAAATGCACACCAGTGTACTCAGAATTGAACAAGGAACACGCCTGTTTCGGTTTTGTGTCGTCACTAGTCATGGTATCGTGAGTATGATATAAAACTGAATAGCTGCGGTGTTCTGGGAAATTTGATATTTGGCTTGGAATAATGGGGTCAATTATTAATCCGACCACATGACAACTAGTACCAATCGCGAGACCTCGTTGAGACCAGTTCACTGGTGTTTTCTGCTAAGCTCTATATTGGTTGATTTAGGAAAACCAGGGGTTTTCGCATCGGCCCTCTGTCAGTCCGCCTTCTGAAAAACGGCAAATCAGGGAGAGGTTAAAATCGTTCAAACCTTTGTGCTGCAAAACTCTAAATAAGCTGTTACATCTTCTGCTATCCCCATTTTCACTAAATTTTCAAAATCGTGACTGGACTTTCAAAACCGTGCCCTAGCCGCGTTGCCTATTTTGACCTTTTGGACGTTCTTAATGCTATTTTGTTTAGTGCGGAGATGAGGAGTGCCGTCTTTTCTATAAAAAAGCATAACATGTCTTTTTCCCCTGAAATGCTACAAAGATGTTTCAATCTAAGCGTACGTGGCCGTTTTCGCGATAATCCAAATCGTTTTCAGTAGTGATAAGTTGAATGTGTTCCAGATTTGAAGATATTGAAGCAAGGACTAGATATGATGAATTAAGCTCACTTTTAACTATTGACAAACTTTTAAGCGGAAAAAGCTGCACTAAACAACAAAGCTCTGTGTTGAGTAAATGTGCTCCTCAATATGTCGTTGTTTGATTTCACCATCGTACTCTGCGCAATGGTGGCTGAGGGCCAATTGACGGTCGTTATATCTGGAAGTCGTGCTCACAAACGCCAGATGTGAACGACTCAACGATTATGTTTTTATTAGCCTCGACTTGCCGCCACTGTGGTCTAGGGGAAAAATGCTGGACTCGTAATCCAGCGGCACTGGGTGCGAATCCCAGAGCGGGCGCATCGTTTGGCCCCATTGAAATGAAAAAGGTCAGCTGGCAACTGGCCAACAAGGGTCAACCCAGGCCCGGGGCGGCCGTGTCGCAGCATTGTGCGGCGCGTAAAACCCTCCGTATTCCTGTCCGGCGCAAGGGCGGAGGCAAGCTTATCCATTGAACTGGGCGGTGCGAATTGGGTGGTGGCTGCACGGTGCACGCAACAAGCTATGCTTAGCAGGTACCATGAACCCAGTCACCCATGGAAAACCATTAGGAATATGACTGCCCAATAGTGATCGCCGGCGATTTAAACACCAACCTGATTGGCTAGAGCACAGGCGCCGGCTATCAAAAATTGATGCAACTGTTAAGGTCTTACAATTTGCATATGTGTAACGGTTCCTATCCAACGTACCGTCCTGCTGGCTCGCTGTTAGATATTACGATCACAAATCACAAGGACCTCATCCAACGCTGTGGTGTCACCACCTGTCACTATAGTTCGCATGATTTCACGCGAATATCGCTGAAAGTATCGAAAGAGAGACGCCAAACCAATGTCATCACATCCCGCTGCCTGAATCGAGTTGATTCTGATTATTTCAATGATTTGCTTGTGAACGCCGACTGGTCTCTCGTCTATGGAAGTGCGACGACGTCTGAGAAGTGGGACTCTTTTCTAAGAGTGTTTACGCCCCATTTGAATGCCGTCGCGCCTGCCCGGCGCATTAAACTGCGCCATCAATCCGCCCCGCCTGTCTCAGCTGATACGCGTGTGTTGATGGTTCGTCGCCGCGTCGCTCTAGCGTGCTGTTCGCGTGCTCAGTACAAGACAATAAGGAGACACGAGCAGCTATTAGACGGGACTGTCGCGATCATATTAGGAAGCAGATTTCTGAGGCAAGTCATTCCGGCATGTGGCGGTGCGTTAAATCGATTATTGACAGTAAACAGGGTGCGTCAGCCACACCTAACATTCATCCTGATACTCTGAATGGCTTCTTTGTGAAGGTGGGGCCTACGACTGCCGCCAGCGTGCCGAACCGAGGCACCGTTTTGCCGGTCAGGCTTCCCCGAGTTATGACCTGCTCATTTAAGGTGCGTCCTGTGTCATGCGATGAGCTGCTTGCAGCTATGTCTATGATGAACCCGACGACGTCCTGTGGGCTAGATGATCTTAGTACGCAGCTCTTACAGAAGTCTTTTCGTGGTGTCGGCTGTCCCCTACTTGACGTCATCAATAGCAGTCTCATTGAGGGAACGGTGCCCAGCGCCTGGAAGCACGCTCTTGTCACAGCGCTCCCGAAAACCAGTGATTTGAACGATCCTACCAAATTTAGGCCAATCTCTGTTGTGTCAGCTATAGCAAAGATAGTCGAGCGTATTGTTCATAATCAACTTAGCTCATATTTTAACGAGCATGATTTATTCTCGCATGCACAACACGGATATCGTACGAATTTTTCTTGGGACGCTTCTGTATGAGTTCTTAAAAGGCTCCGGCTCCATTTTGCTCAGGTTTTAGAGCTGTACAAAACCAAGAAAATGTGGCGGCCATGGTGGCCGCACGCCAATGATTGTGAGTAGCTGGTCTAGGCTCGCATCGTCAACCCATCTAGTGGACTAGGCCAGAGCTGGTCTCGACTCGTACCGTCGATACGTCTAGTGGCCTGGACTTGTACGACATTTCCGCGCGAATAGTGTGATGAAGCGAATTTCGACATACCTCGTGTGTCGTTTTGGAAATGGATAGGACACTAATCCTCGGTGGCATAGCTGTGGGTTAGCAAATCGATACCCACGCTTCCAACAATGCAATTTGTTAGTTAATACATTCAACAATGCAACCAGCACAAGCGATTTTGGAATTAATGTATCCAAGTCGAGCTCGCTTGGACCTCCACTAATGCCCGTAGCGATCTAAGCGATGGATTTAGTTACAGTGCCAGGAAACAAGATACGGGGCTTGGTTGTCTGGTGTAGCGTTTAGCCTACAACGATTCAAAACAGCAGTGTGGAACGCTGCACAGACACTAGCTCTTCTCCAGATCACGTACTTTTCTCTGGTTCCTTGAATCTCGTCTGGCGACGGTTGGCGAGCATGCCGCCACACTTTCATGCTCAACAGTATATACAACAATGCATTCATACAACGCTGAGGTTGTATATCGGCGTTGACCTCGTTTGCATGCGACCCCTGGCACAGCCAGTGAGGAGCGCACGAACAGCCGGCTTAGGCTACTACATCTGTCAGTTCAGTCAAGATGACCAGTCTGTTTAAGCTGCGTGGTTACACTTTTTTCCTACTCTGCCCGCTGCGTATTCCCCCGACGGCTCGTAATCGTCTCAACTAATCAAATGGGACCAGCGCTAAATGAGGTCTTCACCGACCACAAGCATGCTGCGTCGGTTTATGGCGAACTGCTCATTTGTTTACTTAGCTACGACCCTTCAGTACACGTTTCGCACTGCAGACCGATCATATATCAATATAATTCCCAGAGGAGATAATAGGGGCACCACCAAAATCATAACCATGCCTTTTTAAATAAACATAACTGTAATTTCGTACCCACACTCGCACAAGGAGCCTTACTGGCTGTGATTCAGAAAGAATGTCGCTGCAAAACAGAATCTTATAATCTCAGAAGAAAGTCTTCATCGATATGTAACACGCGACAGACATCTTACCTCATCCGCACCATCCTGTCGCGTTGGTTCTGCCCACGAAGGCCACACCACCCAGCACCGCTGCACTGCCTGTGACCGGTGGCGGACCCCACTGGCGCGCCAGACACCCGCTCAGAACCCGATCAGAGAGGGGTGCTGCCGGCCGCTCTGGCAGCAGCTGGAGGAGGCCCAGGGCGCGGACAGACGTCGGTGGTGGCGGCCAGCCCGCTCCGCCGGAGAAAGCGGCGACACAGCACGCCCGCGCCCCACCCGGCAACCGATGAGAGTTTCTCCAGCGGGCAGCCACGCCGTAAGCAGCGGGTGTGGGCAACGGATGTGAGCAGTCATTGTGAGCAGCGGATATGATCAGTGGATGTGAGCAGCGGGTATGGACAGCGAACGTGAGCAGCGGGTGTGAGCAGCGGATGTAAGCAGCGTATGTGACCAGCCAGTGTGAGCAGCGGGTGCGATCAGCGAATGTGAGCAGCCAGTGTGAGCAGCGGGTGTGAGCAGCGGATGTCAGCAGCGGGCGTGAGCAGCGGATGTAAGCAACGAATGTGAGCAGCCGATGTGAGCAGTAGAGGTGAGCAGCTCATGTGGGCAGTGCACATGAGCAGCGGATGTGAGCAGCGGATGTGAGAAGCGGATGTGAGCAGCGGATTTGAGTGGCAGATGTGAGCAGCCAATGAGAGCAGCGCAGATAGCCGCCCCTCGTGTGCGGCAGATAAACTTTAAGCGTATGTACCTCTTCTCCACTTCAACTTCACACAACCACACGGAACTCAGGCCAAAATCACGTTTGCCGACCCTGCCCTTCCCTATTTTGGGGACCTGCTGTCTGCTGACTGCTGTCTGCAGCAACCGGAAAAGCGTACTCACTAAACCGGTCCAGAAACTGTGCCATGGACTGAACAGGCGACAATCCAACACCACGAGCACCCTTAAGTGGGCACATGGTCACGTGCACTTCTGTTATGTTTTTCCTATCATTTGTTTATTCTTTGGCAGTGTCATGTCACGCACAAGAGGTTGCGCCGGCCATGAAATACGCATGATCTCTGCCAGATCTCCATGAAGACCGAACGATCTCTGTCAAATCTCCATAACGGCCGGACGATCTCTGCCAGATATCCATGACGGCCGGACGATCTCTGCCAGATATCCATGACGGCCGGACGATCTCTGCCAGATATCTATGACGGCCGGGCGATCTCTGCCAGATATCCATAACGGCCGGACGATCTCTGCTAGATATCCATGACGGCCGGACGATCTCTGCCAGATATCCATAACGGCCGGACGATCTCTGCCAGATATCGTGCAGGCGTTCCACCGGCGACGATGACCTGGTGACCCGGCCAGGGTCGCCGCTGTCCGGTCCCGACCGCGCGCAGGGCCTCCACCGACGACGATGACCTGGTGACCCGGCCAGGGTCGCCGCTGTCCGGTCCTGACCGCGCGCAGGGCCTCCACCGGCGACGATGACCTGGTGACCCGGCCAGGGTCGCCGCCGTCCGGTCCTGACCGCGCGCAGGGCCTCCACCGGCGATGATGACCTGGTGACCCGGCCAGGGTCGTCACTGTCCGGTCCCGACCGCGCGCAGGGCCTTCACCGGCTACGATGACCTGGTGACCCGGCCAGGGTCGCCGCCGTCCGGTCCCGACCGCGCGCAGGGCCTTCACCGGCTACGATGACCTGGTGACCCGGCCAGGGTCGTCACTGTCCGGTCCCGACCGCGCGCAGGGCCTTCACCGGCTACGATGACCTGGTGACCCGGCCAGGGTCGCCACTGTCCGGTTCCGACCGCGCGCAGGGCCTTCACCGGCTACGATGACCTGGTGACCCGGCCAGGGTCGCCGCCGTCCGGCCCTGACCGCGCGCACTGGCGCCTGCTCATCTGGGTCGCGTGGCACGTTATCGATGCCGGCAGCTGAGGAACCCAGGCAGCCCCGCTGGCGATCATTAGTGGAGCAACCAATAAGTTACATCAGACCAGCTCAGCGATCATTTCGAATTATAAGGTAACAACAGTATCAGAATGATATTTCGTCTGGGAATTAACTTTCAGACTCTAAATTCCATGTCGTTACCGATCTCGTAGAAGAATGTGCAACCTTTTTAAGGATTTATCGGAATCCAGGCAAAAGTTAACAGGGAGCTTGGCAGCGTGTTATCCTTACCCAGCAGTAGGTGTTTGGTGCTGGTATGGACGTCACCTTGTTGCCACAGTCCGGCTGGCAGCGGTCAGCTGCAGAGTTGTATTCACATGGTCGCCCCAGCGGCACATCCTCCTTATAAAGTTGGTTAATGTATCAATTTATGTGAAAATAAATGGCCCGGTCACCTGATTAGTCTCGGACACCGTGTCTTCCGGCCCGATCGCCTGGTCAGTCTGACGAACACCATGTCTTCCGGCTCGATCGCCTGGTCAGTCTGACGAACACCATGTCTTCCGGCTCGATCGCCTGGTCAGTCTGACGAACACCATGTCTTCCGGCTCGATCGCCTGGTCAGTCTGACGAACACCGTGTCTTCCGGCCCGATCGCCTGGTCAGTCTGACGAACACCATGTCTTCCGACCCGATCGCCTGGTCAGTCTGTCGGACACCGTGTCTTCCGGCCCGATCGCCTGGTCAGTCTGACGAACACCATGTCTTCCGACCCGATCGCCTGGTCAGTCTGACGAACACCATGTCTTCCGACCCGATCGCCTGGTCAGTCTGACGAACACCGTGTCTTCCGGCCCGATCGCCTGGTCAGTCTGACGAACACCATGTCTTCCGGCCCGATCGCCTGGTCAGTCTGACGAACACCATGTCTTCCGGCCCGATCGCCTGGTCAGTCTGACGAACACCGTGTCTTCCGGCCCGATCGCCTGGTCAGTCTGACGAACACCATGTCTTCCGACCCGATCGCCTGGTCAGTCTGCCGGACACCGTGTCTTCCGGCCCGATCGCCAGATTAGTCTGTCGGACACCACGCTTTCCGGCCCTATCGCCCGATTAGTCTGTCGGACACCGTGTCTTCCGGCCTTATCGCCTGGTCGGTCTGTCGGACACCGTGTCTTCCGGCCCTATCGCCTGATTAGTCTGTCGGACACCGTGTCTTCCGGCCCTATCGCCTGGAGAGTCTGCTGGGCACCGTGTCTTTGGGCACCACAGGCAAATCGGGCCAAAGGAATACGCTGGGAGTGTTGCCATGTTCATTAAATAATATATGCATGCCATCATAGTGTCAATCATCCAACAGTCAGGCTCTTCGTCACAAAGCCACACTCGACAAAAAGAGAGCAGCGACCATCGGGTGCATCTGTCCGGCTTCATCCACTTCTGCGTCGCAGCTAGTATCGACTGTTAGCAGCAGTCGCCAGCCGCCATCGCTGCACAGTCTTCTCATAATAGCATGCTGGTAAGAAACCTGATCTCTGATGCTCTAGCCAACCCGCCTGGGCACAGCGACTTCAAGAGCTCGAGCGATGTGGCCAACGTATTGTGTTTCACCAATCCACATCCGCCGCGGTGGAACCCTTTCTGTTCTGCACGTCGTCCGAATGTCTCGTGAGCCATGTGGACAAAACGCGCCACCCGCATATACCGTTCAAATGTGCTACTTCCCTCTCATCACTAGCGCGCTGTCACTGGCATCACTGTCACTTCACACACCAGATTCAGAACCACTTTCCGAACAGGGCGCACTCGACGCGCCTTGAACTACGAGCACTTCATGGCTGATATGCGCAGCACGGACCGGGCGACACCTGTGAAGTGTGACGATGTATTTGAGTGACAGTCACCATGTCTTTCCATTCAAATGAGCCGTCTTTTGAACGCTCACGCCCCTGTACGCCGGTTCCGCGTGCGCACCCCATCACCTCCTCCTGTCAGTGACGAGACACTGGAGCAGATGATTCAACACAGAGGTGCCAAAAGCAGTGGTGATCTTGAGATCCACAAGCAATTAAACATTGCGGTCAAGCGATCCACTCGAAAGAACCCTCGAGCTGCAGGCATGCAGTGGATAAATGGTGCACCTCCATCGATGATGTAACGCCAGCTGCAGCCTGTAATGGCACCCTACAGGTGTCCATCCAGCCGCCAGCTTGTGAATCCCACGCCGGACGAACTGAATGTCTATTTCGCCTCCATCGGCCCGAGACCCGGCACAGGGTCATCACCGATTTCCACCCATTGCGACGCAAAAAAAGAAAAATGAGCGTCCATCTCTCTCGTGTCAACACGAGTGCAGTACATATTGTGCCTGTTACACCTGGCCAGCTTCAGCGGCTCTTATTTTCCCTACCAGACAAAACATCGGGCTTGGAAAGTGGCACACCACTTAACTCTTGAAACTCAGCTTCAGTCATCGGTCGAACCCTACCTCGCATTATTGCCACTGGCATCGTCTCGGAAACCGTGCCCGCAAGCTGGAAAAATGTCTGTCGTATCAGTTAGCACGCCCTAGGTGGGGTCAAATTGGCCCCCCGCGAGGTTTTTCTGGAATGGTTTCCGAACGACGCGGCTTAGCAGCACCAATTTTGCATAGCCGTAGAACATATAATAGCGGACCGTCTGACACCAAAAATGTAGATGTACCTTGCAAGGTTGCTGACCTATGGCAGGTCAAATTCAGGCCATGGTTTCAGCGAGGGCAGTTTCTAGGGAACCGTCCAATCTGATCCAGCAACGGATTGTTGGACGATGCCATACACCTCTGAGATACTTTCTTAGGTAACATAACAATTGAATGAGCAAATAACTTTGACCTAAGGCCAGGCATGAAGGTCGGACCAAGGTCAAAACCAAAAGTGTTTTATTACTCCAGGGCTTGCTGTATGGGGTAGTTTCTGGCGTCCATTTATAATTTATTGACAACAGGAACCGCATTATACACCTTCCATGGACTTCGTTAAGATCACAATAGGTCACTGACCCAAAATGACTAAGGTCAACATTTTGTTTTTAGCAATATACTGCCTAGCGTAAACTTAGTCGCTTATTCAAGTACAAAACTCATTATAGTCCTGTATGACGCTGGTCACCATGACCTCCAACAGGTCAAACAATGTCACTGACCTTAAATGAGTATGTTGCATTTTGCTTAGAACAGTTATCTAGGTTCTAGAGACCTTTTGGAGACCAACCTGAAATTTAACCTTGTTTGACCTCATTTGACCAGAAGATCATAAT